GGGGGAGAGGGGTTTTGACGGGAATGGAAAACGGGGGGGGGGGGGGCAGTTGATCGGGAAATAAGGAGAGGGAGGAATGGGGGGTGGGGTTAACGGAGGAGTGGGTAGAGGGGGGAGTTGCCGGGGAAAGAGGGGGGAGTGGGGGGTGGGGAGGCAACTCGGAAGTCAAACGTAGGTTATTGATCTTATTGCCTGATAAAATATTGTTCGCTTTACGTGTCTGTTGCTCTCTCGCTCCCTCGTGTATTTTATATTTATTTTACTTTTTCTGTTTATGTTTTTTTTCTGCTTTTTTCTCTCTCTTTTTTGAGAGAGAGAGAGAGAGGAGAGAGAGAGAGAGAGAGACAGAGAGAGGGAGAGAGAGAGAGAGAGAGAGAGAGAGAGAGAGAGAGAGGAGAGGGAGAGAGAGAGAGAGAGAGAGAGAGAGAGAGAGAGAGAGAGAGAGCGAGAGAGAGAGAGAGAGAGAGAGAGAGAGAGAGAGAGAGAGAGACAGAAGAGAGAGAGAGCGAGAGAGAGAGAGAGAGAGAGAGAAGAGAGAGCGAGAGAGAGAGAGAGAGAGAGAGAGAGAGAGAGAGAGAGAGAGAGAGAGAGAGAGAGAGAGCGGAGAGAGAGAGAGGAGAGAGAGAGAGAGAGAGAGAGAGAGAGAGAGAGAGAGAGAGAGAGAGAGAGAGAGAGAGAGAGAGAGAGAGAGAGAGAGAGAGCGAGAGAGAGAGCGAGAGAGAGAGAGTGGAAAGAGACCGAGAGCTAGAGAGAGAGAGAGAGAGAGAGTGGTCGTCCCATTCATTCCCTCTAAGGGGCTGCGGCTGCTCGCGATAACGGACATATATTCCTCTGATCACCCAGTGGCAACACTCATTATCCTCCTTGAGATCTCTCTCTATCTCTTCCTACTTACTTCCCGCCTTTCTCTTCCTTTCTTCGGGTGGTCGGGAATTTTCTTTTGCCTTTTTTTCGTGTTTCACCTTCGTCACTGTCATCACCTTTTTTCCCTTTGTATTCTTTCTTGTCCATCCTTCATCGTGTTATTCATCTCTTCTTCTTCCTCATGCATTCTTGCTTTCTCCTCATTTCCCCCAGTTATCCTACTGACTCTCCTCCTTTCTTCCTTCTCCTTATTCCACTTATATTTATCCCTCATTCTCTCCATCCCTCTCTTTCTTACTTTCGCATCAGCTGATTGCCGTTAAAAAAAAGAAAGCTCGTTTGTGATTGGTCTTTGTGCAACCGAAATATGTAAGCGGTGTTCTGATTGGCTAATCTCCCTCAGGGCTCCATGATGATTTGTTTCGCAGTGGTTAATCGATGTTTTTAATCACGAAATGGGGGAAAACATCGATATCCACTAGGCCTAAGAATATGAGGCTGGATTTTCAGGGGAGGGAGGAAAAGAGAGGAAAGGAAGGGTTAAGGGTGGAAAAAAACGAGGGAGAAGGAAGGATAAATGGAGGAGGGTGAAGGGAGGAGAAAACGAGAGAGAAAGAAGGATAAATTGAGGAGAAAATGAGAGGGAAAGAAGGGTAAAGGGAGGAGGAGGAAGGGAGGAGAAAACGAGAGAGAAGGAAGGATAAATGGAGGAGGAGAAAGGGAGGAGAAAGAGAGAGGGAAAGAAAGGTAAAGGGAGGATGATGAAGGGAAGAGAATACGATAGGGAAAGAAGGATAAAGGGAGGAGAGGGAGAGAAGGGTAAAAGGGGGAAGACGAAGGGAAAGAGGAGAGAGATAGATGGAAAGAGAGACTGTGAGACCGGTTTGTTTTTAATTAGGAATGATAATAATGATAATGATAACTATGATAAAGATAATAATGTTCGTAGTAATGATGATAATAAAAGTGGTAGTAATGATGACAATAACAATTATAATAATGGTAGGCATGATCATGAATGAAAATAGAAGATATGATAACGATAGCAGTGATGATAAGGATAATGATAATAATAATAGTAATAATAATGTTGATGATGATAATTATATTGATAGCAGTGATCGCACCAGAGCCAATGATGACGGTGCTAATGCTGCCAGTATTAAGGACAAACAGTCATTAAATAACAACAACAGCAATAAACAACCATGACGCCAATAACGACATCGCCAATCACATCGATCACCATAACCTGAGGATGATAATGATTTCTCTCTCTCTATCTCTCTTTCCCTCCCTCCATCCCTCTTTCCCTCTCTCCCTCTCCTTCTCTCCTTTCTTCCCTCTCTCCCTCTCCTCTCCTTTACTCCCTCTGTCACTCCCCCTCCCTCCCTTCCCACCTTCCCTCTCCCTCTCCCTCCCACCTTCCTTCTCCTCCCTTCCTCCCTCCTTCCCACCTTCCCCCTCCCCCTCCCTCCCTCCTTCCTCCCTCCTTCCTTCTCTCCCTTCCTCCTCCTCCTCCTCCTCCTCCTCCTCCTCCTCCTCCTCCTCCTCCTCCTCCTCCTCCTCCTCCTCCTCCCCCCCGTTTGTCCTCTGCGACGAGCGCCTTCAGATCACGGAAGGAGAAACTGTCACGTGGCTTATCTTCCCGCCATCCTTCGTTCTCATCGCCTGGGGGGATTAAGGAGTGGGGGGGGAGGAGGATGTGTGGGAGGGGGAGGGGAGGGGAAGGGAGGGGAGGGGAGCAGAGGGGAGGGGAGGGGAGGAGAATGGGTGGGGAGGGGAGGGGAGGGGAGGAAAGGAATAAGGAAAGGGTTAAGGGAATGCGAAGGAAAGAGGAAGTGTGTGGGGGAAGAGAGTATGGGGAGGGGGGAAGAGAGAGAGAAAGAGAGTGAGAGAGAGAGAGAGAGAGAGAGAGAGAGAGAGAGAGAGAGAGAGAGAGAGGGGGGGGGGGGGGGGAGAGACTGAGGATGATCAATCCGATGATGAGGGGATGCCATAAGCCATTAGGTTCCGTTGCAACTGGAGTTTGCCGAATTCCCTCGAGGGTGAAGGTTTTATGTTGCTTTGTTTTTTTGTCTCTCTCTGTTTCCGGGTTTGTTTTTTGCTGATGTTGTCGAGGTTGTTGTGTTTTATTTCCTTATTTTGTGATAGGTTTATTCATTTATTTGTTTGTGTGTTTGATTTAGCATGATAGAGTATGTGCAAGATTTTAAGATCAGCGTTTTTTTTAGTTTAGTCCTTTATTTACCACCCTGGCTAACTGCACAGGCGTGGGCAAGCTGTAGTACATTTGATGCATGGTCATAACATTACATAATGGTATTACACTTGGATATTATCCTATAACATTGTTATGATAATAAGTACTTTGTAATTGAAACATGGCGCGCGGAGTCCGTAGAGTAAGTCGCTGAGCGGGGCACCATGGCAGGGGTCCTACCTCTTAGGCGCGGGCACGTGCGGAAGGCGGTCGTTATCTCTCTTATCAGCGTGGGTCGTCTCAGCTCGTTAACTGACTCACACCTTATCTTGGGCCGGGTTATTGCCGCGCCGGTGCCTTATATCAAGCATTTCTTGCCTTCGGGCTGGCAAGACGGGAGGAGTTTCAAGAGATTAATTGGCGTCGGTTATCGCGTCTGTTCGGGGAGGAGAGCCGCTCTGATTAGGATTATTAGGATCTTCGTCATTATTATCTTATTTGGGGTTTTTCTTTTCTTTTTTTTTTTCCTTTCTTTCTTTCTCTTCTCCATCTGCATTAATCGTTTTTTTTTTCTCTTCGTTGAGGGTTGAGTAATGGTAATGGTGAAATACATTTTGGGGGGCTTGGGATTCTCAAAAATTCGTAAGAATGATTATGATTAAACGCGCACTTATGCTTGCACACACGCACACGCACAAGCACACAGGCGTACACACACACACACACACACACACACACACACACACACACACACACACACATACACACATGCACACATACACACACACATACACACACTCACGTGTATGTGTGTGTGTGTGTGTCTATCTATCTATCTATCTATCTATCTCACCCATATACACATCACACTATCATCTATCCTGTCACAAACAAACACACAAACAAAAAACACAACCCCCCCCCCTCAGCCTCTCTCGGTGCGTGCCTTAAGCGTGGGTTTGTCTCTCTCACGTACATCCTCCGCAAACTACATTAACGCAGACAAATGCTTTCCCAGGGGGTGATTTCACGCCTGAGCGCCCCCCTCTCCCGTTCTCTTTCCCCTCTCTCCACTCCCCCATCCCTTCTCTCTCCTCTCCCTTCTTCCCTTCTGTACCTTTCCCCCTTTTCTTCTCTCCTCTCCCTCTTCACTTCTCTCCCCTCCTCATTTACCCTTTCTCCCTTCTCCTTTCACCTCTCTTTCTTCCCTCTTCCCTTTTCTACCCTTCCCCTTTTCCTCTCTCCTCTTCCTCTACACTTCTCTCCCCTCCCCACTTCCCCTTTCTCCCTTCCTCTCTCCTCTCTCTCCCTCCTCTTCACTTCTCTCCCCTCCCCACTTCCCCTTTCTCCCTTCCCCCTTCCCCTCTCTCTCTCTCCCTCCCTCTTCACCTATTTCCCCTTCTCACTCCTCCTTTCTCCCCTTCCCCTTTCCCTCTCCCTTTCCCATCCCTCCCCTTTCCCCCTCCCCCCTCCCGTGACGTCACTTCCGCCGGCGCGAGGAGAGTCTTCCGGAACGATGGTCCTTCTCAGGCCCTTTCGCGTCCGATTCCTTCCGTTCGAGTGCTTTTGCTTTTTGTTGTTGTTGTTGTTGTCTTTTTGTTTGTTTGTTTGTTTTTTGCATTTATATTTTACTTTGTGTGTGTGTGTGTGTTTTTTGTTTTTGTTTTTTTTGCGTGGATTTTTTTTTTAGTTCTTTTTTGGGGGGTTATCGATATTTTATGTTCCTTTGCATATGTTTTAGACATTTATTTATGTATTTATTTATTTACATTTTATTTCCCTGTTACGTATCATATAAATTTCATTTACACTTTTTTTTTACCTTTCATCTCATCATCCTCTCTATCTACCTTTTTTATCCGTCTCTCCTCACACCCGCCTTTCTGTTTCAAAAGACAAGCAATTATAGCGTCCCTTTCTCTCCCTCCTGCAGCACAATGGCTAGCAGGCCGCTGACTCTGCTGACGGTCCTAGCGGCGGTGCTCCTGTTGACATCCGCCGCGGACACCACCGCCGCCACCGCAGCCGCCGCCACCACCACCGCCCCCGCCGCGACCGCTGCCGCTACAGTCCTCGCTACGGATGTCGCTGCTGACGATGACGAAGGGATGAACGACACGCACGCGGCTACGAATCCCGCCCCGACCGCCACCGCTACGGGAACCGCTACGGACGCCGCCACGAGCACCGCTACGGACGCCGCCGCCGCTACCGCTACGGACGCCGCTACCGCTACCCTGGCGGACGTGGAGATCCCGGTGGTGCGGCAGGAGTTGGAGGAGGAAAGGGAGAAGGAGGAAGAGGAGAAAGAGAAGAAGAAAGAGGAAGAGGCGTCAGCAGATGGTGAGTCTCGATTTGTTCTCTGGATTTTCGGGCTTCGTGTCGGGCGGCGAAGGCGGGGCTCGGGTTCGGGA